TATACCTAAAACGTACCAATAAATATATATATAAATTAAAAAAAAGAATGATCAAGGAAAAAAAGAGAAACCAAACATTTAGCAATATCGGGATAAAAGAGGATAAAGGGTATGTTATACAACCTGAAGACATTAAAGAGATAATAAAGGAATATTGGAAACAAATTTATGTCAATATATTTGACAATTGAGAGGAAATAAATTCACTGAGTAAAGCATAATAATTGACACAGAAACAAAAATTTGTATATCTCTTTAAATATTTTAAATAAACTTTGCACAAGCAATTTTTTTTTCAAAATACTGGCTGAATTTTTTAAAGCACTATGTCAATGAAGCAAAATATGTAAAGGTTAGATTAAGCCAGCAGAAACCAGGTCTCCTGGGATCATGACAGGAGAGACCTCTGAGGGCCTGGATGGCTGAGCACCATGAAATGAATCTGGGAGTACCATTTCCCTAGGTGGCCCTTCTGAAGCCAAAGGCCCAAGGGGTTCTCTTCTCAAATGAAAGGTTTACACTTTTGCACACCTGAGCCTGTGATGAGTAGGGTCCTTGCATCTATTTTCTTAGCCTTATTGAAAGGTTCAAAGTACTTGGTTTCATTTTAATGGCACCAATCTCTTCAGCAATCACTTCTTTGTTTCCAACTTTACATGTGCTTCTTCTTGAGCCAAAATGTAAATTTTCCAAATTGTTCTGCTCTGTTTTTACTCCCAATTCTCACCATTAAACTGGCTAAATGCAGCCAGCAGTACCCATGTCACAGCAGAAATTTGGGCTGCCTTGAAATTTCCTCTGCCAAAGCAATTAACCTATATCCTTTAAACTCAGCCTTCAGCAAAGTTTCAGGACATGGGTAAAATGTAGTCAAGTTCTTTGTCAGAATGTAACATGCATAGCTGACAGTCGAATTCCCAATAAAGTTCCCATCTGAAACCTCATGAGCTTGTCCTTTCCTGTCCACATTCTTATGAACATTCCAGTCTTCTGAGTTCTACCAGAATCACCCATCAGTCTTTTCAAGTTGCATTCTAGGGTTTCTCTAGCCCACATCTCCAAACTTTTCTAAATTCCTCCCAAAAACTAGTTTCAAAGGCTTCTTGAACCATACAGCAATGACTCCCTTCTCTGGTAGCAATTTTCTTCATTAGTCAGCTTTCTGGTCACTGGAACAAAATACCCACAACTTAAAGGAGAAGAGGTTTAATTTGGCTCATGGTTTCAACAATTTCAATCCATAACCTACTGGCTCTGAAGCAGAAGCATGATGATAGGCCATGTCAGAACAATGCTGCTCACTTCATGGCAGCCCAGCAAACACAGCGGAGGGGAAGAGCAACTGGGAGGGTTATACCTTCCAAAGGCACATCCCCAGTAACTCACTTCCATCTGGACCCCACCTCCTACCAACATACATAGCTATGAATATGAGTGGATTAATCCACTGATAGGCATAGCCCCCCTAGGATCCAATCATCCCTGAAAGAATCTCTTAATTTAGTCAAGTTGACAATTAAGATTAACTGGCACAATCAGCTACTCTTGTCTCTCTACTTATTTCTTTCAACATTTCCATTCATAATTTGGAGTTTCTAATTTACTATGAACTAGAAAAAAATCAGGAAAATAGTATTTCTAAGAAACACACAGTAAGTAATAATCCTAGATATAAATGAAAACTGAACATTTAGGTTTAATGTAAGCTTTCTGGTCTCCTTTCATTTTTGTCTAACAGAATTCAACTAAAGACGCTGAGGTAGAAAGTCCCATATAGACTGGGTGCTACTAAATAATTTGCTATATGACTTTGACATTAAATTGCCAGGTTGACACCTATTTCCTTTTAAAGGGAATACAGTACAGAGATGCTAAAGAAAAATTTATTTCTGAAGTTCACTATTTTCTGCATCAAAATGTAAATGGTTATATAAGGAAGAGGCACTATCCAAAGTCAGAACAATGTTATTCATTCATTTTCCAGTATAGGCACATTTTAAAAAATCTAATTCTGAATCCTATCACAAAACAGCATGACTATAGGATATGGCATTACAATTAAAAAGTCCAAGCAAAAATTTTTAAATACTTAATGAATGATAAAACCTACCTCTTATACATATCCAACAGTCATCTTTTTTATTATGTTTCCTAAGTTCTTCTTCAGTTACTTCAATTAGCCTGCCTTTTAATCCTGTTAGGTCTTTCCCACTTTTGGTTAGTCGAATCCAATCCATAAGACTTCTGCCTTGTTTTAAAGGTACCTAAAAAATAGAAAAGAAAAATTAAATGTGACTTCTTATTGTGTTCTCTTCTTCCTAATACTTGTCTTCAGGCTACTTAATTATGTTTATTCTCATTTAAAAAGACAAATTATTTTTGCTACACTAGAATTATAAATGGGATATGTATAAAAATCCTAGGAGCTGGGGATGTAGCCCAGCAGTGCCAAGCCTGCCTGGAAAGCACAAGGTCCTAAGTTTGATCCCCAGTACAAAAAAAAAATAAACAAACCCTGGGCAATAAGGTAGGGTTCAGAAATTTTTTTTTCACAAAGTTTCATTAATAAAAGTACCAGAGTATAACAGGAAAGTATTGAATCCAGTCAGAATACATGTCTTGGTCCTGGGTCTGTCACTAATTATGTTAGAGTCATCAATTAGGACCAAAATTTCTTCACCTTAAAAATCAAGAGACTTAGCTGGGTGTGATGGTGCATGTAATCCCAGCACAGTGGGAGGCTGAGACACAAGAATCTCAAATTTAAGCCCAACCTGGGTAACTGAGTGATTAGGGAGCCTGTCTCAAAATTAAAAGTGGTAAGGGAAGAGCTGGGGATGTAGCTCAGTGTAAAAAGCTCTTGGTTCAAACCCTAGCACACAAGAGAGATTTGATGTAAGAAAAGATACACAATTGGCATAAGTTGACTTTTTCTGAATTACTGACATAAGCAGAACATTAGAAATTATTATGTAGCAATGCAGCAATGGATTTTCTAAAAATCCAGTTCTTATGGTTTATATCTAGCTGTCCTCAAAAATCCTTATGCACACACAGGTGGAGCTTTTAGAAGGTGACTAGATCATGGAGGCTTCAAACTCATAAGTAGATTAGTCCACTAATGAGTTTATAGTTAAATGTGATGTTGAGAAGTGAAGCCTGGTCAGAGGGTTAGGAACAAGGCCTGGAAGAGTAGATCTCCCTCTTGCCTCCCTTGATCTCACTCTCTCTGTTTCCCACCACTGTGTCACGAGCCACTTCTCTACCAGCTGGCTATGGACTGAAACCTTTACAAACTATGAGCCAAAATAAACCTTTCGCCCTTTAAACTGTCAGTGTCTATGAGGGCACTGGCCAGAGGTATATGTGAGGCGGACATGCAGAGATAAAGGATCATTTAGAGCCACAAGCCCAGACCTCCCAGAATGCATGGCTCAAAATTAAAAGACAGCCTACAGGGTCACAGTCCAAATAGGATTAAAACACATTGCCTTAAGAAATGTATGCTCTGACCCTTGTTCTCCTCATACTCCAATTAATTACTTAGATTAGCTCGAAGATCAGTCATGTAACAAACCACCCTGTCCTTTCCCTGTTCTCTGTCCCCTACCTGAATTCCTGCACAGGTGTCCTTCTTTTGTCCTTTATCCTTGCTTCCTGGTTTTAGCAATAAAAAGCCACAGAAGCTTCAGTTTGGAGCTATTTTTTCCTGAGACTCTCTCATGTTGAGGGGGTCTCAGTTAATGCAATCCCTCTAGGCCCTCTTGGAATATAAACTAGACATGGACTCTGAGTAATCTCTCATCCTTTGTGCTACCAGTCATGAAATGTGACAGGTATCATCAGGTACTATGTCCCAGCAATGAGGAAAGTAACTAAGACAGATTTTTGGTACCAGGAGTAGGGCTGTTGCTGTGATGGTACCTGATCATGTGGTTCAAAAGCCTTTGGAGTGCCTTGTGGAAAGAATTTGGAAACATTAGGAGACGGGGTCTGGTGAAACAGACCTAGAATGGCATAAGCCAGGGTTGATGGAAGATTCTGGTAAGAGCTTATAACACCAGAATGCTGATAGAAATGCAATGGTAAAGATCAGGCTCAGGAGGTTTGCTTTGGGAATAAGAACTATATCGGCAGTTGGACTCTGGGCCATGCGTATTATGCTTTGACAGAAAATCTGTCTACATTTTGCTCATGTCCTGAAACTTTGAAGGAGACTGAGAATAAGAACTAATTAATTTGGCAAAGAAAATTTCAAGGCAGCCAAATATTCAAGCTGTGGCTTAGATACTGTTGGGGGCTTTTAGCAAGCTCTACATTGAGAATAAAGAGAAAATAGCCCAGAAGAATGATTTACAAATCTTTGAGTTTGGCCAGAAAGGCAGCTCCCGTAAAGCTGTGGCCAGCAAAGATGTAGCAGAACTCAGTTGCTAAAAAGATTAGCATTAAAAAGCAGCCAAATAACTTGGAACAGGACAATAGGAAAAACAGCTAAAGGGCATGTAAGGAACCATCAAGGCCCCACCTTTCCAAGGCTCAAAATTGCAAAAGTGAAAGACTTTGCCTTGAAAGAAAGCCCCAGGGTACTCTGTTGAAGAAAGAGTGCCTAGGGAATTGACTCCCAGGGATTCAGTTTACTATGCTCAGCCAGCCAGGAATTCAAACGCCTCTGCAACCAGCACCAAGATGCAAAAGGTCTCAGCTACTGCTCTTGCTTGTGGAAGATCTTGGTGCCATCCACGTGGTGCCGGTTTTATGCCCATGAAGAATGTAAGAATGGCAGAGTCATAGAAGCTTCTACCCAGATTTCAGAAGAAGGCCTGAGAGGACAGGTAGTGTGCCCAAAAGGGCAGTGTCTAAAGCTGTGAGGGTAAAGCCAAAAGTGTAGTAGAGATTCCAAGATGTTTGAAATGCTAGGAACATGGAACATCTGAGAAAAACCACAGGAATAAGCAAAGCCAATCTAAGAAAAAACCCATGAGAGCTATGACTACAGGCAGTGCAATATGGGAGAAGTCACTCATCCAAGCCCTTTGGACTCCACATCGCACCATGGTTTCCCCAGGATGCTGAACACGGAAGTACAGGATTTAATATTTGTCCTGCTGGATTTTGGTCTGGCTTTAGTCCCATTCTTTTCTACCCCCCCCCCCATTTCTCCCTTTTGGAATGGAAATGTTTATCTTGTGCCTTTGTATGTTGGAAGTGTTTAACTTCTTTTTCCTTTGTACTAGGGCTCCCAGCTAACAGTTTGCCTTAAATCTCAGAGACTTTAGACTTGGACTTCTCAGCAATGCTGAAACTGTTAAGACTTTGGAAACTCTTAGAGATGGTCTAAATGCATTTTTGCACAAAGGGATGCAAATGTGTCTTTTGGGGGCCAGGTTGGAGCGTTCTGGTTCATGTCTAGATGTCCCCTCCAAGTCTCATGTGCTCAAAGGTAGGGTTTTAGGGAGGTGACTGGATCATGGGGGCATGATACTCATCATTGGATAAGTCCACTTCTGAGTTTATAACTAAATGTAGTGTGGAGAAGTGAAGCCTGGTCAGAGGAGGTGGGCTGGGGGCATGGCCTGGAAGGGTGTATCTCCCTCCCTTGTCTCTTGATCTCTTCCTCTGCTTCCCCACCACCATGTTATGAGAACACTTCTCCTCTGCCATACCTTCAGCCATGCTGTCTTGATGTGGAGCCAGCCAACTGTGGAGCCAGAATACACCTTTCCTCCTTTAAGTTGTAGGTGTCAGGTACTGTGTCCCAGGAACAAGAAAGTAACTAAGACACCAACGAGAAACAAAAGTTTCTCAAATAAGGAGTTCTCAGAAAAGGGGTTGGAAAACTATAAGGGGCCAACTCTGCCCATATTTTTACACAGCCCTGAGGTAAGAATAGTTTTTACATGGGGTGGTAATGAAGAAAGGAGGCTCTCAAAGCCTAAAATACAGTAGCTTCCCTTAGCCACAGGGCATGCAGTCCAAGATACACCCCCCAAAAACTAAGGCTAGTACCAAATCCAACATATATTATGTTTTGTTCTATATATACACATTTCTTTTCCCGTAACAATTTCATGAATAGATCATAATTACTGTAGATCTTAGCTATCTCAGAACGTGATTTTTTCCTTTCTTTATTAAGTTAAGAACCTTCACAATTTCACTTAAAGGAAGGACTTCATGCCATACCAAAATTCCCCACATCGCTACTCTTGCACTTTGGGATCACTACCGAGGAAAAAATAATTGTTACACTGTTATACTGCCAGAGTCAATCTGATAACTGAGACAGCTACTACTATGTAACTGACAGGTGGGGTAGTGCATATAATGTAGATATATTAGACAAAGGGATGATTCACATGCCGGGCAGGACAGACCAAGACAGCCCAAGACTTTGTCATACTACTTAGAATGGCATGTAATTTAAACTTATGAACTCTGTATTTCTGGAATGTTCTAATATTTTCAGATTGCAATTAACTGTGGGTAACTGAAATCATGAAACAAACTGTGAAAAAAATGAGTAAAGGGTACTACTTTATTTACTATTAGGCCCTTTGTAGAAAAATTTGCCAACTCCTCCTAAGAGGATTTAGTATCAAGATGTTTGCAGTCTGAGCTGTGTTTTACAAAGCACATTTTCAAAGTTTTTAGATAAGATGTTGCTATGGCTTGAATATCAAAAGGCTGTTATAAAAAGGCTTGAGCTTGAGGCTACAAATTCTATCTCATGCTATCAGTATGTGATACTTTCTGTCATGTTATGGCATAGCAAGAACGCCTCTGCTAGAGGTAGGGCCCTTGACTTTAGAATTCCCACTCTCCAGAATCATAATAAATAAATTTCTGTTCTTTATTAGTTATGCAGTGTCTGGTATTATATTATAGCAGCACAAAATGGACTAAGACAGGGGTGTTATTCACATTTTAAACAGTTAAGACAATCTAGTATAAATTTTTCTCTTTGGACCCAAAGACTCATTTTCACCATCATCTGTGCAACTCTTTGTCTTTGCCTCAACATTTTCTCCCTTAAATAGATGTTGAGAACATGGCTGGCAATTTTAACGGAGAAAGGCAGCAACTCATATTTTAACTCTGGAAAGACAGTACTACTCAGACAAGTACTGAGTTAAAGGAGAAAAACAATTCAAACATCAGGAAGGAAAAGACAGGACTGAATGGCTGTATAATAGATACACAGAACAATAAGTGAAACGTCAGACAGAATTGCATCACAAACCTGTATGTTCTAAGGCAACATTTCTGAAAACTAGTTTCCTTTTCTGTGAAATGGATAATAAACGCTCCCACTTCACAGGAGCATTGTGAGGATTAAGCAAGCTAATACAGGAAAGGAACTAAGGGCCGGGGATTTAGCTCAGTGGTGTCGCTGCCTGCTGCGCAAGCGCAAGGACCGGAGTTTGATCCCTGGTACCAAAAAAAAAAACCTGTTAGGAAAAGAACTAAAACAATACATGGTCATAGTAAGCATTTAATAAGTCTCAGTATTATTATAGTCAGAGATACACATTTGAAAAGCAAGGGAAAATTACAGTTTCTCAAACCTAAATTCTGATCTAGGATCAGAACCCCAGGTATCAGTAGAGAAAAATTAGTTAGTGAAGGTCCCAAATGATGCTAAGACTCAAAACAGTGCAGAAATGAAAAAAAAGGAGTGGCCCGAGTAGGTGGAAGTCTCAAAAACAAAACAAGATGTGGTTACTGATAAAGGAAGCACCAAATAACGGGACCAAACAGCATCCACGTTGAAACGAACACAAAACACGGTTTTTATTAAAATTTGCAAATATAAAACATATTTGTGTTCCACTTGTGCTAACAGTAACTATTCCTAACAAATACTCAAAGACATTGCATTAGTTTCAAAGTCAGCAATTGCTATCAGTAGAAAAGGCAACGTTGAAGCAATGAAGTATCACAGAAAGGCAGTATGACTTGAAGAGAAGTGTCCGTAAACCTGAATGGAGAGTTGAGGACCTTTGTCTTCGCTTATCCGAACTTCCCTAGCTCCATCTCACCCTTGCGACCATGTCTCTTGTCGCCACTTCTTAGCCTCCCTTTCTGCCAGTGAACTCACATTATTCACAACTCCTTCGGACAGGGAAGAACAAAAGATCGGAGACAAGGACAGGCTGAAGGAAGGAAGCTGATATTGAGTACCTACAATAAGACAAGCACCGGTCCTGTTCTACAGATCTGAATTTAATTAGCAGGAAAGAACTGTGAGAAAGGGAACTGACAGCAGGAAAGTGGGGAGAGCAATGAGAAGATGGGAGGGAGTTCGAGAACTGGAGAAGGCGTGGGATCAGAAAGCGGTCGTCAGCAAGGGCGGGAGACAACGAAAACTTGAGAGGGGCACAGGAGGTGGGAGCAAGGACAAAAGGAAAGAATACATTGTGTGGAAGGCACGAATCCTCGGCGTGAGAGCGCTTGGCGAGACTTACCTTGCTACGCCCCCCGGAGGCGGCGCGCTGCTGAGAACTGGGGGCCGGGAAAGACTGAGAAGGGACATTTAGCATCCTGGACCTCCTCTGGTCCGGGCCTTGCCCAGGGCCCACTGACCGATCGGCACGATCCGGCAGGAGCCCCCCTCCCCCCGGCCACCACCTCCCGCTCCGGCTCTGGGGCGGGGAGAGGCCAAGCCCCAGACCCACTTCCGGGGTCGCCAGGGGTGAGGCACGTCATGCCGCAGCACGTCCGCGAAGGGCGGAGCCAACAGGACTCAGGGAGCGCAGGCTAGGGTGGAAGTGAGAAGTACGCATGCTCAGTGAGTTCTGCTCCCTAAACTTCAGCACTTGAAGGAAGTGACAGCTATTTCGGGGAAAGATTACTGAAGCTGTTCCTTAGCCCTGGTGCTGATAGAATACGAGAATAAATTCCTACACAGTCCTGTTAATCCAGAACAGCAGTGTTTGTCCATTGATAAGCAGAACCATCACACTACTTGAAATATAGACTACAATAACGTTATTAAAACCGTCTGACTTCCCTAAAATTATGTCATGTAAGGTACAGGGCTGTACCAGAAAGAGAACCTCACTACTTTAAAAGCTAAGGAGTCAAATGCAAACAGCCACTACAAGAGGATAAAAGATTTTATCATTAAACACCCGGTCTCCTTGCGCTCTAACTCAGTAACTCACAAATTCTTCCTCCTCGAGTAACTTTTCACCTTCACTGAAACATACAGGGAGTTGTGGAGCTGATGGAGCTCTGACGGAGCTGACCTCCAATTGTGGTGGGGAAGAGCTATGTTTAAGAGACAGACTTGGTTTTGATGCCATCCCTGCATTTAATAACTGAGCTGTCTTGTGCATGTTAGTTTCTCAAAGCTTCATTTCTGCATCTGTATAATGGGCATACGTTTTAGTAAGGATCAAATTATCATATCTAAACTACACAGTACAGTGTGTGGTTTATTATAGGCACTCAACAAATAGTAGTGGTGGTTCTTTGTACTATTGAAATGTATTAACAAAAGAAGCACAAACGCTGGGCAGACAAACACAACTCCCTAATTCTCAAGATCCGTATCAGTGAACTGCTGGGATTTTTTTTTTCTTGCATGTCCCTCAGGGAAAACACATTCTTGAGAGTAGAATCCAATCAACATAGAAAGTTTTCAGGAGAGAAAAAAGTTCTAAATAACCCTTCTCATCCTTCTTGTATTATTAACCCTCCTGGCTCTGAATACATTGTCATGGTTTGAAATTTATTACAATTATCCAATCCTCAAAGTGCTTGGAAATGAAAGTTACATTTGCAGTATTTTTATATTCTAAGGAAAGTGTGTGATATTTGTGGTTGTTCAAACAAGAAACATATGTTAGCTAGTAGCTAGCTACCTCTGGTCTTCATCTCCACTCATTATTATTCTGGGATATTATAGGAATATTTTTACTTGCATTGAACTGTTTATTGTGAGAAGATTGTATGTATATGAATTGAAAGAACTCCATGACTGGAGTTTACCACATTACCTTAACCTTGCAAATTGCTCATTTTCTCTCTCATTAAATGAAGTATTTTTCTGCAAGTATGTAAGAAAAACTAATCACTGAGGATTTATTTTCATTTTTCATAGGAAAAATTTCAAATGAGAGTATCAAGAACGGGGAACTAGAGCAAAAGCAAAGTTGATAATATTAAAGAATGTTTCATATCTACCAAGTATCTTAGCTCCTCCCTGGACAAAAGTAGAAAAATACTTTTGAATTCTCGTCATTGGGCTCCAATTTTTTTAGATTCCATGTAAATAACTCCCTTGAAACATTTTGTTTTAATTATAGAAATCTCTCAATGTAATATAGTAAATATTGAGCCCCCAAGCTATGTTACTACTAGATTTAAAAATAGCAGAAAAGTAGGAAGTGAGAATTACTCATTATTTATTTGTAATCACTAAAATTTAGGACCTGTAAAATTGATTTCCATTCTCAATTATAGATAATAATTTAAAGTATTTTTCACCATCTTCTAGTAAACACATAACAATAAATGTGTGATTGGTAACATAAGATGATTCCTTTGTTATCTAAGAAGATAATTCTATCTATAATTACAACATCCAGTTGAGATCAATAGGAAAGAGCAGATGTTACAAGGTCAAGTCATGAAAAATTAGATATTATGTTTCTTTGTAAAATTATAAAGATAAATTTGTAATTTAATGGAGACCAAAATTATCCTTTGTAAGCCCCAACTATGTATTTATAACAGAATTAAGGCATTTATAAATGTCACCTATTTTAAATTCCAACATTCAATTCTAGTGTAGAGATTTTTTTAAAAGGCCACACTACCATAGTAATTACAAAATATTTCCTTTTATTAAAAACTTATATACAAATAAATTAGTTTTTTTAATTATGATACATTTGTACACTAAATTTAAATCCTACTAGCTTTAAATATCATCAAAAATTAGCTTAGTTTTCACAGGTCAGCTCTTCAATTTCATCTTCACTATCAGAATCTTCATAAAATGAAATTGTGGCTTGAATTGGAAAATTTTTCAGAAGAGTTTCTGCCTCTTGATACAAGTAATCATAACGCTTTGATTTTGGCCATAATAGTCTGAAAGAAGCAGAAAACATAGTATGCTTTATTTTTTCACATTCAGAATCGTTATATTCATGAAATGATCAAATTTCAAGTGTTCTATATGTTTAACAATGTATTAGATACATTGTATTAGATACAGCCTTAATATAGAGTTTTTAAATACTACTATCATAACTTTCATGGAATCTATTTGCCAAAATATCAATAAATGTGTGATTATTTTTAATCTTTATCCAACCTACAAATTAGATCAAACAAATTCATTATATACCCTAAATAAGCATAAGATCAATTGTCAGCTTACTTCTAGCATTATGTATATACTTATTCTTTCAAAGTATAGGAAAAGGTCTGTCTTTCATCTTTCGAGTTTCTTGGGGGAAAAATGAATTCTACCTCTATGTTAAAAATTCTGATAAAATCACCCTTATAACAGTGACAAAATATTATACATCCTAAACAAAGGCAGTAATCATCTACAGTCTTGTTTTAAACTCACAGTTTTAACTTTTAGTTATAAATGTAGCCAATTTAAGTTTAGAAACATACTGAGAACAGTATTTTTAAGTTTGTTTATGCATTCACAACTTGACACAGAAAGGCTAACATGACACCAATTACTGAGGACCCCTGAAACATTACTAGAAACCTCTGCAGTAGGCTCCAGTCTCCTACTCAGTGTACATGCAAGCCTAAGCGGGGGGGGGGACTAAAAGACAACTAAGAGAGACAGAAAGTGGGGCGCCAGGACAACCAATGCCGGTACAACTAACAAAGGCACCGGCCAGTCCAAGCCACTGATTTTTATTGGTAATCAATTGGGGTAAAGGCGAACTACGTGGAAGGGCAGAACTACATGCAAGGATACACAATCGTGTGGTTTCTATGGAAATTAGTGTAAGCAAGGCTCATGAAGGGCAAGACAAAGCATTCTTGAATTAGGAACAGAGTAGATAAAATATATGGTTGTAATTAGAACATTGTCCTTCTAGTTAGAAGGTTTTAATTGTAGAAACAGTATTAGGGTGGGAGTTACTCTGACTTCGGCACATAGGCCTCAGCTGGACTCACTTCTATAAACAAGCCAAGTGTGAGATTAACTTTTTAGAGCCTGCACTGCTTACAGCCTGCTTTGGGACATAATCAATATTGTGGTCCCCTGCAACCAATCTTGGTCCCATCTCCTTTCCTTGTCCCCATTTAACCAAATGTGGGAGCGCATACTGAGATATTGAGAAATGATACAGGCTTCACACAAAAAAATGGCATATAAGCATGATTGCCTCAGAGTTTTAAAAATCTGACATATATTAATTTTTTCATTTCTGTTTTTCATCCAAGGAAAGAAGAGGGATAAGTCTGAGTCAACAACTAAAGTGCAGTCATTTTAGTGTAGAATGAATAGTCCCATACATATATGTAATTGAGTGATGCTTATAAAGATTATATTATTTTCAGTATGTTCAATTTTAAAAGGAAGAAAACTAAAAATGAAATTTTAAAAAGTTTCTAGCAAGAACATTTAGAAACTTTATAATATTGATGCTTAAATAAGTAACTATCAATTAACCAATAAATATTGTAGTGATTCTTTGTGCCAATTATTCATAATTTGAAGATGAATACATCAAGAGCCCTACTCTCAAAAAGTTGGCAATTGAGTAAAAATAATAAGAAACATGATATTAGCCAAGATAAAAATTTTTAAAATAAACTTAAGTACAGTAAAATTTTAACAATAGTTAAGAAACGAATTGCTTATAAAGTTAAGTCTATTTCTAATATGTAACTGGAATTGCCAAACACAAGGAATAATGCTTAGCCTTCATCATCATACTCTGCCCAGAATTTCTCACTGTGTATTGTTTTTATTCCATGGACTCCATCCTTTCTAAATCCCTCCCTGTTCCAACTCTTCTGTCTCCTTTTGGACCTTTCTTTCTTCACATACTTGTTAGAGGTTGACCTTCCCTCACTGATCCCTCACTGAGAGTGATCAGCTCTCCCCTCTACACTGCCTAGGATGACCTTACTGTCATGATTTTCCCAATCCTTTATTCACCACAGCCTCCCAAGCCTGTACTTACAAGATTTTAACTCTAGGCCCCTGACATATTATGCTGCTCCCTATCTGATATCTACATTTGGATGTTCCATAGGTATATTAAATATAACAAATAGAAAATCAGACTCAATATCTTGCTTCCCAAGTGTATTTTAAGTCCTAATTTCCATCTTTTCGGTACAACACTCATGCAGTCACAATTCACAAACTTGGGAAACATTCTGGCTTTTGACCTCTTCTTCACTATATATATATATATATATATATATATATATATATATATATATATGTCAAATACCTTATGAAGCCTAGTTGTCCCCTAAATATTTCCCAAATTTACTTATTTCCATCCCCATTTCCAACATCTTAGAGAAGCTCTTTATCATTTCTTACCTGAACAATTGCAATAGCTTCCAATTTCGCTTTTCGTGTTCTAAGTCTGTATATCATTTCCTTAGTGCTTTTTCTGAAAGATAAACCTGATCACACTACTCTTCTGGTTAAAATCCATTGAGAAGCCCTCAATACAGAGTAAAACCCATGGATTTTATTCATCAAAGTCTACAGGTTCTGGCTTCTGGCTACCCTGCTGGAATGAACACAGTTCCACACACCCAAATTCCAGTTCCTTGCTGCTCATTAGCCATGCTGTCCCAGGCACCTGCATGGTGATTCAGCCAGCTACAACCTAAGATACACACTTCCTGAAACTTCCCCATCCCCAGCAGAATTAGTCACTTCATGCCCTGCCCATACTTGTAAAAACTGACCAAAGTAAACACTCCAACACTTAGTAGGTGCTATGATTACTTTTTCCTACGTCCTTCAACTAGTGCTAGCTCATGGTGGGAAATTAATATTAACTAGTACATGCTTCTTATAAACACTTCAGAAAGATCATAAGGCTCTTCGTTTAACAGCTCTCACAAGCAGGAAAACTGCATAATTATTAACTTTTCACATGAATAAAACCAACCTACATAAAAATCTCCCAGAAAGGTTGACTCCTGTGGCAAAAAATCCAGTAAATATTTGCTCTTTTTTTTTTTTTTTTTGGTACGGAGGATCAAACTCAGGACCTTGTGCTTGCCCAGGCAGGCATCAGAACCACTGAGCTAAATCCCCAGCCCTAGACATTGTTATTCAAAATAAGTTTTTGAATGCTTTTAGGATCATTCTTATCTTTATGGTTTTCATTACATTTCCATTTTCTCCTACTGATCAACCTTTGATTTTCTGTAAAACTGCAACTGTTAACCCCATTCTTCCTTCTGCTTTGCAAGAGAATAATATACATACTCTGATGTAAAGTTCAATTTCACTGGGACCTTTAGGATTTTTAAAAACAGTTTTATTCAATTTCAAGAGGATACAGTTCTTCTTTTACTATATCATATACTTTCTCTGTTCATAACATAATCTTTAAGCATTTACTGGGTATTCACGTATTAACAGTTTAGTAAACGACCTCTTTGAGTCAGACAAGAGTAACCTTGAAGAAAGATTTTCCAAGAGAGAAAAACTGCAGGACCAGCTGCGGAGATGGGCTGTAGGAGGCCCCAGCTCCTCCCTGGTGCTGGAAGAGCAAGAGACCTTCGGTGAGGCCTGCCACTCACCTGACAGGGTGCCTGTATTGGGAAAGCTTTCCTGGGGCTGCGGTCATTCCTTGGCCACCGGGCATCTGGGTAGGAAAGGAGATGAATCGCTGTTACCTACACGACCTTCTAGAAATTGGAAACGTGAGGCGCAGCATCCCTAGCCCCTTTGGGGAATGTGACCCAGGGCATCTCAGCAGCCCCGATCTTGGCCTGATTCCTGTGACCCAGTCGTTCTGGGGGACACACCCGGCCACGTCAAAACCGGCCGGGCCACCATCACGCTCGATTATAAGCTAGGGGCAAGCTGCGTGCACGCGTCCTTCAGGCCTCGCGTCCCTGGCCCTGGTTGATCGTCTGCACCGCTCGAAAGAGCGCCCGCCACCCGCGCTCACCGCCTCCGTAGGGTGGCGAGGCGCCTGCTCCTCTCGCTCGCCTCGAGCTTCCCACGGTCTCCAGAAGCCTGCAGATCTGAGGGTTGGGAGCACAAGCAGCATAGAGGAGAGTGAGCCCCACCTGGGAGAATCCACCAAAGCCAAGCGCGGGGAGTAGGGTGGAAAGGGGAGGGGAGGAGCCAGGCCCGGCAGTAGGGAGGGACTGGTAGGAGCCCTCAGGGCTGCGCAGAGCAGCTGTACCCGGAGTCTGCCGCCCCGCACTGCGTCGGGCGGTCTGGGACTTGGGACGGCGGGGGGCGGCAACGCGCGCTCCCCGCGCTCTCCGCGTTTTCCATGGCTTGGCGAGGCTCCGCAGAAGGCCGCTCCCAGCTCGCGGACAGCCTTGCTCTCTTCCACACGGTCTGAGCCCCGGGCTTTATATAGCCCTTTCGGCCTCCTGCATATTTAAAGGTTCCCACCCTCTCCGCCCCTCTGTCTTCGCATAAACAAAAAGGCTGCGCGTGAAGGCGGACCGAGCTGAACTCCGGGGTGTGAAGCGTGCAACTCCCAAATGGCCTGGGAAGGGGTTTTGTTGAGCGAGTGTTAATCGCCCTTCCACACATGGCTGTGGTGAAAAACAACATTCGCCCGAGCGGCCAATTTCCATGTGAACAGGTTAGGAGGGGATAAAATTAAGCGATTCTACACGTTTTGTGTATTTCTACAAAAAGGCCAAGTGGCTGATAATTGCTTAACTCGCACATCTCATGGCTTTTTGGTCTTTGGCAAATGCAGCCGGTTCTGCATCCCGTGTTCTCAATGTTGGATGTGGACTGAAACGGAAAAAAAAATGGATTTAATTCCTCTCTCTGGAACAATTTTGGAATAATGGATGAACTTCTTAAGAAAAAATTATTGGGATTTTAAAATGTATTGATAAGCTAGGTTCACACACATGCCTGTTACTATTTGAGGATAATGGAAAAATATGGACAACGAGAGGTGAATTGGAAAAGATTGAACAGGGGCAGAGACTAAAATAGTCTGATTTAGTCCTATAATAGCTCTGGATCTCTTCTCATATCTGTGTAATTCCTCAAATCTTACCAATAAACCCATACGATAAGTCTTAAATTTCATCTGTACATTTCTGTCACTTACTCAATGATAATGTGAAAATTCTTTTGAGGGGTGGTGTATGAAATAATAATGAAATCTTGGAAAGTTATATGAAACAAGTTAGGAATTCTTTCTTTCTCCTGGTTCTCATGAGTTACCCCCTTACTTACCTATAAAGGTCCATTAAACTTGGTAAAAAATGTTATGCTTCAAATGAAAGATGATTTATAAGGTTACATTTTTCCAAATTGTTTTAAATAATGGAGCTGAATTATCTCTTAAAGGTGGTAAGTGAAAAACCTTCAATGTAAGTTATAGTGTCTCTGCTATACATTCACTCATGTACTTCATAAGAAAATAATCCATTCAATTACTACCTAAGGGCCTAGAATGATCTGCCAGGAGAATGAGAGCTGATTTTCTCAGGATGATAAAATCAAGGAGAGTAGATACCTTGTGCATGTCTCAATGGCCGAGAGTTATTGTTAGGCTATTTGTAAAGCAAAACTTATTGAATGCTTGCTGCATGCCTGACGCATAGCCCTCAACAAATTATTATTATTTTTTGTATATCCTTTTATTGGTACATTTTAGGTGTACAACATAATGACATTCATCATTGGAGATATGCACCTTTACATACTCTCTTGGTTCTTATTTTTCCCCCTTCCCCTACCCTCCCTTCAACCCCTCCATCCCTCCCTATTTACAAAGACTTTGTTTCCATTTTTTCACTTTCTCATATTAATCCCATTCCCCTCTTTCCTTTCCCCTTCCCCTCCCACTTCCCCTTCCCCTTTGCCCCTTTTCTTCCTATTTCACATTATCTATTATACCTTCTAGTCCTTATTTACACTTTCAGTTTCTCACACTAGAGAAACTATTCGGTATTTACACATGTGTGTCCTGTTTATTTCACTTAAGAGTATTGTCTCAATGTGCATCCATTTAGCAATAAATGTCTCTAATTTCTCATTTTAGCCCTCAACAAATTATAAGCTGTGTAAAAAATATAAGCCCTTTACAGATGTTAGGTTGTCTATTGCAATGACTTATTGTTTCAGTTTCGTAACATTTTTTGATGTGGCTGTAATGTGATTAAATACTGTACTTTCAATACATGATGGTGGATAAGATATTCCTTCATCCTCAAGATTATAATCATTACAATATCTACCCATTACAATGGCCCCCAAAGCAAATATTTTTCTTTTCTTTTTTAGAAAGAACACATTCAGTAATAAAAGCACATTTTAGGCAGAGAAGTGACACAAGGGAGGGACTTAAGAAGTCTTTTGGGGACAATCTTCTTAGAGTAAATGAAACCTAAGCTTAGAAGGATCAGAGGAAGAGTATTATTGTTTGTATGTGTATGTGTGGGGGGGTACAGGGGCAGAAAGAGTAGAAACAAGGTATTGTTGAACCAGAGATATGGCTGAAAAGATAGAAAACCTAATATGCCATGCTAAGACATTTTGACTTTATTTTATAAACAATGGGGCAACATTTTAAGCAGGAGAGTGGGGTGGTCAAAGTTTGCACCTTATAAAAATAATCTTGGAAGCCTCACAGAAGATGGAATTAGGGAAGTCTGGTATTGGAGAGAAAGAGAACATTTTAGTTCTCTAAGCAAGATATAATAAGATGTATACTCAGAATGCAGACAGAGGATAGATTTGAAGGATTCTTAGAAAACAGAATCTCAAAAACTTCCTGAGTCATAAAATGCATGGGAACATGAAAGTGGAGTCTAGATATGCTCCCAAGTTTCTATACTGGTTAAGTAAATGATAGTCATGGCTGAGGCCAAGATAAAGAAACAGGGAATGTAGGATAAAGAACAGGTGAGATACTTTCATGTTTTTTTATTCTGATAATGTGCACAGGGAAAAATAATAAATTTGGTTTGGATCTTTTAACAGTCAGGACCTATATGGCAGTAAGAAATAGCTCTAAAGTCTCATGAGTTTAAAACAACAAAGATTCATATCTCACTTGTGTTACATTTTTGGTTAGTGAAAGAATAGCTCTGGGTTAAGGATGTAAGCTGTTGGGGCCTTTCTGGAGTGCTGCCAGTTAACAGGGAGAAAGAAATAAATTTTATGTCCATTTTCAAAGATTTCTGCCTAAATTGACAAACATCACCTCCAATATACTTCACTGGTCAAAGCATGCCTTATGACAGACCCAATTTCAAAGGCACAGGAAAATGCATTTCTACATATTCCTCAAAGGAGGAGAAACAGAAATAAGCAGTATATAAAGTACTATAATCTGACCTGTTGGCTATGGAGAAAATATTAAGATTTTTTTTCCTTCCTACATATAGTCACTCCAAGGAAAGGAACCTAGAAGAGATCTAATAGATTTCAGAAGACTTAGTAACATGTAGACAGAAAAGACATTCAGGGAACAATTAGAGACAAACGTTCTGGAGTTCAGTAGAGAGTTTAGGGCTAAAGATTTAAATGTGGAAGATATCAGCAAAGATATTAAAATAATTCACTTGGTTGTTTTCCCAGGATAATTTTATAGCTTGAGAAAAGACTGAGGACAGAGCTCTGGGGATTCACCGTTTGATTGTAAGTCAAGAAAGTATACCAAAATAATTTTTTTCACTGAAAAGGAAAGATTATAGCAATAGAAGGTGAATCAATAGAGCAGGTATGGTGGAAACATTGGGGTAAAATAATTCCAACAAAGAAGAGATCCAAACATTAAGTGCTACCAAGAGCCCAAGTAAGACAAGTCTTAATTGGACTTAGCAATTAAGGGTTTATAAGTGATTTTAAAACGTCATTTGAGTGTATATGGACAGAACTTTTTTTATAGCAAGTTGAATTGAATTGTACATTAGAGATGAAGAAAGAAAACAGTGAGTTAAGGCTACCCTTCTTAGAACAAAAAAGAGAGATGTGGGGGAATTCTGGGGTCAGTAGAGGGATTTTTAGGAGTGCAAGAGTCAAAAATATGGGTCTGGGATTTAGCTCAGTGGTGCTGCTGCCCGCCTCGAAAGCAAGCGCAAGCAATCCCTGGTATCAAACAAAACAAAAAACAAACAAACAAACAAGTCAAAAATATGTTTTTAAGATGAAGAAAGGAGTGAGGAGAGAAGGGGCTTCTGGAGAGGGGGGCTGGATGATGGCTCACGGTCTCTAAAGAGGAAAGAAGAAAGATCTGTAGCCCTGGAGAGGATCCTCATGAGGTTGAAGAATAAGAAATAGTAACAATAATAACCCAGGTCTGGAAACTCCTAGGAAATCAGCTTAATTAAGATTGACTAGATCTGGGGTGAGGAAGGATCTGAGAGAACATCAGTTGTCCTAAAATTGTGAGGAAAAAAAAGAACATTACTAGAAGGAAAAAGAGGAGAAACAATTAATAAAAATATAGCAAGATTTATACTTCATCAAATTAATGGTAAACTGAGAAATAGAAATATGGACTACTAGAATTAGAACATCCTATAGCTTCCATTTATAGACAACTTCTATTTTATGTCACCTGTTTGTACAGATCTTTGAAGCTGGTTTCTACGGAGGCTATGTCAAAATGCTATACTGCATTTCTTTTTGTTTGATTTGGGTGTGGTTTATATATTTTACCTTTTTTGGGGGGGTACGGGGATCAAACTTGGGACCTTGCACTTTCGAGGCAGGTGCCGGAACCACGGAGCTAAATCCCTGGCCCTATTTTATCGTTTTTAAATCAAAGATGGAATCTTTTTGCTAAATAATGGAAGAGAATATTAATTTTAAGAAGTACCAGAAGACAAGAGCAGTCAGCGTAATTTTCAGGGACATCTTTATTTTAGAATGAATATATATATTTTATAAGCAAGCTTGATGCAGTACAAGGATATAAAGTCTTGTAAAATAAATATAAAAAGGTATAGAATCATAATATAATCCAAAGTATAACATATTTTGCAGTTTAAATTTATTTTATAGTGAGTTATACTTAGGCATTTAAAATATATACTTTATATATCATATCAGTATACTCTTCATAACACATCAATGAGTTAGACCAACTAATAATCCATTAGAATTTAAATATGTAGAACTTCATGTGCTGGTTAATCTTAATTGTGGACTTCATTGGATTAAGAGACTCCTGGAGAAATGATTGAATCATGGGGGCAATGTCCTCATCCATGGATTAATCCAATGGTGTTCACAAATGAATGTGCTCTCTTAGGAGGTGCTTTCTGGATAGAGGTGGGGCACAGGAAGGATGCCTTTGGAGAGTATATCTCTCTGGGGGGTTCTTCCCTCATGTTGTGCTTCCCTGCTGTCATGAATTGAGCAGCTTTGCTCCCCCATACCCTTCTACTAGGGTCTTGAAGCAAGCTTACCATGGACTAAAACCTCTGAAACCATGAGTCAAATAAACCATTTCCTCCTTTGAGTTGTATATGTAAGGTATTTTGCCACAGGAGTGAGAAAGCTGACTAATAAATTTCATTTATTCAACAAGTATTTATTGGACAGCAATGTGTGAGGCACTGTTTAAGGAGAGCTTG